TCCATATATTAGATCCTCCCGTCACCCCCCTCCATATATTAGATCCTCCCGTCACCCCCTTCCATATATTAGATCCTCCCATCACCCCCTTCCATATATTAGATCTTCCCATCACCCCCTTCCATATATTAGATCTTCCCGGTACCCCCCTCCCTCTATAACATGGGCCGTGCAATGCTTACCTTGATCAAACTGCCTCTGCAGCGAGTCCATTTCGGATTTATTTCCGCTGACTCTGTAGATTCCTTCCGTGCTCATCCCTGCGGAGGAGAAAATCGAACTATATGAACAACACCCTGTATGCAAGACTGGAGGGGAGGCCGGAGGTCAGATAGAAGACTGAAGGGAAGGCCGGAGGTCAGATAGAAGACTGGAGGGGAGGCCGGAGGTCAGATAGAAGACTGGAGGGGAGGCCGGAGGTCAGATAGAAGACTGAAGGGGAGGGCGGAGGTCAGATAGAAGACTGAAGGGGAGGACGGAGGTCAGATAGAAGACTGAAGGGGAGGACGGAGGTCAGATAGAAGACTGAAGGGAAGGACGGGGGTCAGATAGAAGACTGAAGGGAGGATGGAGGTCAGATAGAAGACTGAAGTGGAGGACTGGGCCAGCGCTGACTGTTATCGGTTCTGTTGCTCTCAGCCATCTCTGTGGACTACAGAACACCTTCCCCCCGTTATGGAGTGTTGTGTAGTAGGGTGACGCATTGTCCCTCCATACATATAGTGGGTGGCTGTGGTAATCTCTGTACAGAACTGATTGGAGGCCGGTCACTGGTCACATGACAACCCAGGGGCCCCCGAGGGCCACTGTATAAACTTACCGGTGGTCTCAATGTACTCCACACACTTCTCTATGAACACTGGAATGGGTCTGTCGGAGGACACCACACTGGTCAGTGGCACCCCAAAGTAGTTGCTCTCCCAGGTCTGCTTGGTCAGAGATGGTCGCAGTTTCTGGGTTCTCTTCTATAGAAGGAAAAATCAACATTTAATCAGACACAAAAATGAGCCCCAAAAATAGCAAAAATCCCCCCAAAATGATTCTCAGGTCCTAGGAAACCCCAATTAACTGGGGTCAGTGAGACAAGGGGCCCCTCACACTGGGGTCAGTGAGACAAGGGGCCCCTCACACTGGGGTCAGTGAGACAAGGGGCCCCTCACACTGGTGTCATGAGACATGGGGCCCCTCACACTGGTGTCATGAGACATGGGGCCCCTCACACTGGTGTCATGAGACATGGGGCCCCTCACACTGGTGTCATGAGACATGGGGCCCCTCACACTGGTGTCATGAGACATGGGGCCCCTCACACTGGTGTCATGAGACATGGGGCCCCTCACACTGGTGTCATGAGACATGGGGCCCCTCACACTGGTGTCATGAGACATGGGGCCCCTCACACTGGTGTCATGAGACATGGGGCCCCTCACACTGGTGTCATGAGACATGGGGCCCCTCACACTGGTGTCATGAGACATGGGGCCCCTCACACTGGTGTCATGAGACATGGGGCCCCTCACACTGGTGTCATGAGACATGGGGCCCCTCACACTGGTGTCATGAGACATGGGGCCCCTCACACTGGTGTCATGAGACATGGGGCCCCTCACACTGGTGTCATGAGACATGGGGCCCCTCACACTGGTGTCATGAGACATGGGGCCCCTCACACTGGTGTCATGAGACATGGGGCCCCTCACACTGGTGTCATGAGACATGGGGCCCCTCACACTGGTGTCATGAGACATGGGGCCCCTCACACTGGTGTCATGAGACATGGGGCCCCTCACACTGGTGTCATGAGACATGGGGCCCCTCACACTGGTGTCATGAGACATGGGGCCCCTCACACTGGTGTCATGAGACATGGGGCCCCTCACACTGGTGTCATGAGACATGGGGCCCCTCACACTGGTGTCATGAGACATGGGGCCCCTCACACTGGTGTCATGAGACATGGGGCCCCTCACACTGGTGTCATGAGACATGGGGCCCCTCACACTGGTGTCATGAGACATGGGGCCCCTCACACTGGTGTCATGAGACATGGGGCCCCTCACACTGGTGTCATGAGACATGGGGCCCCTCACACTGGTGTCATGAGACATGGGGCCCCTCACACTGGTGTCATGAGACATGGGGCCCCTCACACTGGTGTCATGAGACATGGGGCCCCTCACACTGGTGTCATGAGACATGGGGCCCCTCACACTGGTGTCATGAGACATGGGGCCCCTCACACTGGTGTCATGAGACATGGGGCCCCTCACACTGGTGTCATGAGACATGGGGCCCCTCACACTGGTGTCATGAGACATGGGGCCCCTCACACTGGTGTCATGAGACATGGGGCCCCTCACACTGGTGTCATGAGACATGGGGCCCCTCACACTGGTGTCATGAGACATGGGGCCCCTCACACTGGTGTCATGAGACATGGGGCCCCTCACACTGGTGTCATGAGACATGGGGCCCCTCACACTGGTGTCATGAGACATGGGGCCCCTCACACTGGTGTCATGAGACATGGGGCCCCTCACACTGGTGTCATGAGACATGGGGCCCCTCACACTGGTGTCATGAGACATGACGAACCCCGCCGTGCTCAGAGGGGGCGAACCCCGCCGTGCTCAGAGGGGGCGAACCCCGCCGTGCTCAGAGGGGGTGAACCCACAACTTGGGGGTGTGATGATGTTGTGCCCGTATTAAAGCGATGAATGTTCTAATGTGCCATGGAAGGTGCCATGTTTACAGCCTAGTGTCCTGCGTTCCTTTGACAGTGCTAGGAGGTTAGGTTGTGGGAACGTTAGGTGGAATGGGTTGGATACAATAAAGATCCACCCATATATAAACCAATCCAGCCTAAGTGACCATTAGCTGTGTGCGCCCGTGCCACCCCCCTAGCCACCCACAGACAGGGGTGTGGAAATGTTAAAAAAAAAAAAAACTACTTGTCCAATGGCTAAAGCGGGGGGAGGGGCCAAATCTACTCGTCCCAATACAAAAAAATAGTTCTAATCTAAACTAAGGACGCACCAATAACGGTCTTTCGGTATCGAGTCCGAGTACGGATTTTTTTGCTTTCGGATCTCGCCGACACTGAATACTAACACCGGTGCTTCCGCTGGCATGGAGCCGGCTTCCCGGGTAATCAGGAAGCCTGGCAGCGGGTAATGACATCCCGCCCGGGTTCCCGATTGCCACGGAAGCCGGCTCCATGTTGTTTGGCCTGCTTGATTGCGATTGGCCGGGAAACCTGATTCCCGGTCAATCAGGAAGCCGGGTGGCGAGTAATGACCTGATTGACAAAACTGGCTCGATGCCGATTGGCCAGGAAGCCGGCTTTCCAGCCATTCAGCAAGGAGCCGGCTTCCCGGGCCAATCAGAAAACCAGGAGGCGGGTCATTACTTGCCGCACGGCTCCGCGTTCCCCTACGGCGCTGCCAGTCAGAGGAAATTTTCATCTGGCCGTAAGTTCCGATATCGGGGCGTTTGGGTGAGTACGAGTACTCGGTATCGGCACTGATACTAGTATCGGCACTGATACTAGTATCGGCGCACCCCTAATCAAAACATATTTGCTAAATATCGCTTCTCACTGGTCAGGGCAGTCACCTGACCTCGCTGACCAATGAGTGCTTGCAATTTGCGAGCGAAATGAAAAATGCATCGGGGGAGGACTGCGCTGGACAGCAGTACGGGGGGACAGATAGTACACCCATACTGGCGGAGGGGGGGGATTGTTCGCCGAAAGGTAAGTATAGCCAGGGGGGTGGCGGTTTGGGAGAGACAGGGCCAGATTTC